GGAGGAGGAGGAGGAGGAGGAGGAGGACGAAGAGAAGAGGAGGAGGAGGAGGAGGAGGAGAGGAGGAGGGGGAGGAGGTGGAGGAGGAGGAGGAGGAGGAGGAGGACGAAGACGAGGAGGAGGAGGAGGAGGAGGAGGAGGAGGAGGAGGAGGAGGGGGAGACGGAGGCGCTGGATGTTGTACAGGAGGCAGAGGCTGAAGCGGGGGTTGAGGATGATAATGATGATGCTGCTGATGATGAAATATTGCTGCTGCTGATGACGACGACGATGAGGATGCTGATGATGATGCTGATGATGAAAATGATGCTGATTTGGATGATGATGATGATGCTGCTGATGATGATCATGATTATGATAATGCCGATGATCATGATGATGATTATGATGAGGGCGAGGTTTAAGATGATGATGATGATGATGATGATGATGGTTCTGGCCAGGATGATAACGATGATGCTGATAATGACGATGCTGCTGATGATACTGATGATGGTGATGGCTGGGATGACAATGCTGATGATTTGATTGTGATGCTGATGCTGGTGATGATGCTGCTGATGATGATGACGATGACGATGACCTTAACGATGATGATGTTGATGATGTTGATGATGATGATGATGATGATGATGATGATGATGATGATGATGATGATGATGATGATGATGATGATGATGATGATGATGATGATGATGATGATGACGTTGACGATGATGATGCTGATGATGATGATGAGAAGGGGAAAGAGAATGAGGACAAGGAGGAGTCAGGGTAGAGGGAGGCGAACGTTGTTGCGCAGGAGGCAGAGGCTGAAGCGGGGTTTGATGATGATGACGATGTTGACATCGGAAAGAGCGTGTTCTACCGCTGCTGGCGGAAAACCGGGGGGGGTCACTACCGGTTCGAACCCCTCCCCCCCCCCCTCCGGAAAACCGGGGGGGGTCACTACCGGTTCGAACCCCTCCCCCCCCCCCCCCCAGCTCATCATGAAAAGGGGGGGGGGTCACTACCGGTTCGAACCCCCCACCCCCCCCTCGAAAACCGAGTGGGGGTGCGGACAGTGGTGGGGACGGTGTTGGTGGGGACAGTGGTGAGGGGACAGCGGGACAGTGGTGGGGACAGTGGGGGGACAGTGGGACAGTGGTGGGGACGGTAGTGGTGGGGACAGTGGTGAGGGGATAGCGGGACAGTGGTGGGGACAGTGGGACAGTGGGACAGCGGTGGGGACGGTAGTGGTGGGGACAGTGGTGGGGACAATGGTGGGAACAGGGGGGGACAGTGGACAGTGGTGGTGACGGTGGTGGTGGGGACAGTGGTGTGGGGACAATGGGAACGAGGTGGAAACAGTGGGACAGTGGAGGGTACAATGGTGGTGGGGACAGTGGTGAAAGCGGTGGCGAGGACGGCGGTGGGACAATGGGACAGAGGTACAGTGGGGACAGTGGTGGGGACAGTGGGGACAGTGGTGGGAACAGTGGGACAGCTCAGTGGGACAGCGGAGGAGTCAGTGGGACAGTGGGGACAGTGGGGATAGTCGGGCAGTGGTTGGGGCCGTGGAGACAGTGGGGAGAGTGGAACCGTGGTGGGAACAGTTCTGGGGACAGCGGGGACAGTGCGACAGTGGTGGGGCCACTGGTGGGGACAGTAGGGGCGGTGGTGGAACCAGTGGGGACAGCGGTGGTGAGGACAGTGGTGCTGGGAACACCAGTGGGGGATGTGATGCGGACGGTGGTGGGGACCGGGAGTCGTTTGCTGGCGGTGAGTGGGTGGGGGGGGGGGGGGGTTCGAACCGGTAGTGACCCCCCCGGTTTTTTCGGATCCAGAGGGGGGGGGGGGGGGGAGGGGTTCGAACGGGTGTGACCCCCCCCGGTTTTCGAGGGAGGGAGGGGGGGGGGGGGGGGGGGGGGGGTTAGGGGAGGGGGGGGTTTTTGCCGGGGGAGGGGGGGCGGGGGGGGGGGTGGGGTTCCGGCAGGGGGGGGGGGGGGGGGATTTTCGGAGGGGGGGGGGGGGGGAGACCCCGGGTTCCGGAGGAAAAGGCTGGCAATTTTCCACAGTAAAGCGGCGGTGGATCACGCTCTCTCTGACATCGATGAATGACGACAACGAGGATGATGATGACGACACTGATGATGATGATGATGATGATGATGATGATGATGAGGATGATGGTGTTGATGATGTGAACGACGATGGGGATGCTGATGATGTTGATGAAGAGTCCGAGGATGGATGATTCTGATGCTGCTGATGATCACGATGCTGATGCTGATGATGCTGGTGATGATGATCATTATCGGGATGATGATGCTGATAATGATGCTGATGATGTTTGTGCTGACGATGCTTGTGATTATGATGATGGTGTCGACGAGAGTAGAAATCATGCTGCTGATGATGCTGATGATGATGTTGATGATGATGATGCTGCTGATGATGATAGTGGCGGTGATGACCGGGATGATGATGATGATGATGATGATGATGATGATGATGATGATGATGATGATGATGATGATAGTGTTGATAATGATGCTGCTGATGATGCTGATACTGATGATGATGATGATGATGATGTTGATGATGACGACGATGATGATGATGATGATGGCGATGACGATGGGGATAATGATGATAATGACGCTTCTGACGATGCTGATGATGATGATGATGCTGATGATGGTGATGGCCAGGGTGATGGTAAGCATGATCGTGATGCTGATGATGATAATGATGATTATGATGATGATGATGAGGATGATGAGGATGATGATTATACTGGTGATGATGTTGATGGTGATGGTGATGCTAATGATGACGATGATGATGAGGATGATGATGCTGATGATGATGCTGATGATGATGATGATGATGATGAGGATCAGGACCAGGATGAGGATACGGATGAGGATGATGCTGATGATGATGATGATGATGATGATGATGATGATGATGATGAGGATGATGAGGAGCCCGAGGAGGAGGCGGAGGAGGTGGAGGAGAATGAGGGGGAAAAGGAGGTGGAGGCTGTTGCGCAGGAGGCAGAGGCTGAAGCGGGGGTTGATGATGATGACGACGATGATGACGATGATGACATCCACGATGATGACGACGATAATGTTGATGATGCTGCTGATGATGCTGCTGATGATGCTGATGATGATGATGATGATGATGATGATGATGATGACGATGAGGGTGATGGTGATGGTCGGGATGCTGACGATTAGGATTGTGACGTTGATGATGATGATGATAATGATGATGGTGGTGGTGGTCGGAATGATGATAATGATGGTGATGCTGAAGATGATGATGACGATGATGAATGCCAGGATGCTTATGATGCTGCTGATGATGATGATGATGATGATGGCTATGATGATGATGATGATGATGATGATGATGATGATGATGATGATGATGATGACGATGATGATGATGATGATGATGATGATGATGATGATGATGATGATGATGCTGATGATGATGATGATGATGATTCTGACGATGGTGACGGCGAGGATGACGGCCATGATGATGATGATGCTGATGATGACGGTGATGATGATGGCCTGGATGATGCTGATGCTGCTGATTGCGATGCTGGTGATGATGCTGATGATGCTGATGACGACGATGATGAGGAGGAGGAGAAGGAGAAGGATGAGGAGGAGGAGGATGAGGATGAGGTTGACGCAGGAGGGGGAGGAGAAGGCGAGGAGAAGGAGGTGGAGGCTGTTGCGCAGGATGCAAAGGATGAAGCGGGGGATGATGATGATGATGATGATGATGATGATGATGATGATGATGATGATGATGATGATGATGATGATGATGATGATGGCGACAACAATGATGATGACGACGAGGATGATGATGCTGATGATGATACTGATGCTGATGGTCGGGATCATGATGATGATCATGATGAAGATGAAGATGAGTATGATGAAGATGCAGATGATGAAGGTGATTCTGCTGCTGATACTCATGGTGATAATGATGATAATGATGATAACGATGCCGATGATAATGATGATCATGATGACGTTGGTGGTGATGGTGGTTTTGATGGCCGGACTATTGATGCTGATGCTGATGTTGATGATGATGATGATTATGGTGATTTTGCTTTTGATGATGGTGATGGTGACGATGCTGCTGCTGCTGATGATTATGATGATGATCATCATCATCATCATGTCGATGACGATGACAACGAACACGAAAACGACGAATATGATGATTATGACGATGATTCTGATTCTGATGATGACGATGATGATGCTGCTGGTGATAATGATGATGCTGATGCTAACGCTGATGTTGATGTTCATGATGATGATGATGATGAGGATTCTGAATATGATGATGCTGATTATGATCATAATGATGATTGTGATGTTGGTTATATTGATGATGATGCTGATGCTGATGATGATAATGATGATGCTGATGATGATGATTCTGATTATGATGATGCTGATCATGATTATAATGATGACTGTGATGCTGATGATAATGATGCTGATGCTGATGCTGATGATGATGCTGATGATGATGATGATGTTGTTGATGATGGTGATGATGATGGTGATGGCGATGGTGATGATGATGATGATGATGCTGATTCTGATGATGATGATTCTGATTATGATTATAAAGATGATTGTGATGCTGAGTATGATGATGATGATGATGATGATGATGATGATGCTGCTGATGATGATGATGATCATGATCATGATGATGATGGTGATGATGATGATGATGATGATGATGATGAGGATGATGATGATGATGATGATGATGATGATGATGATGATGATGATGATGATGATGATGATCATCATGAGGAGGAGGAGGAGGAGGAGGAGGAGGAGGAGGAGGAGGAGGAGGAGGGGGAGGAGGAGGAGATGCAAGGCGAAGACCCGACGCGAATTGGCAGGGCCTCGGCTCGGAGCCGAAACCAGCCCCCCCCTCCCCGCCTCTGCGCAGTGGTTCTGCGTGGTGCCCGGCGCGCTCAACCTGGTCCAGGACGCCCCCCCGCGGGGCGGGCCGGGGGAGGTCCTCTCCGGCAGCCTCGGGAGTCTCGAGACGGGGGTCAATGCCAACGGGGGTCAGCCAGAGCGCCCGCTCTTGCAGGATCTTGCAGGGCCAGAGTCGCATTGGCCCGGTTTTGCATGCAGGGTCCTGCAGGATGTGGCAGGATCTTTCGCGTTGACCCGGGCTTGGGTCCAGGACGCCCCCCGCAGGGGGGGGGGGGCCGGAGGAGGTCCTCGCCGGCAGCCGGCGGCTCGACGAAGTCGGGCTTCGAACGTTTTTCGTAGGGTTCTCACGGAGCGAGCGCGTTCCATTATTCGCAAAGTGCCTACCCTCGGGGGTGGACAGACCTCCTACCCTGACACGTCGATCAAGGAATTTGCCGTTCTCGGTTCGCGAGAGGGCGTCGCGGCCGTCACTTTTGCGGGTCCGGTCCGTCGGTTTCGGTCTTAGGCCGTTTTCACTAAGGGGAGGTTTACCAAAGGAGAGGTTTGTCCACCGCCGACAGTCGCAAACGTTCGAAACAAACATGCCTTCCTCTATATAATGTATCCCAAATCCCCAACGGCGGATCGAGGCCCTTTGCGAGTGGTAGCTCTGCGAGCAGTGGAGCGCGCTTGTCCATGCTCGGCTCCTCGGGGCCCTGGCCGGGCCGGGGAAGAGAAAGCCGTCCCGGGGAAGTGGTCGAGAGGTCGGGGGCTCGTGTTTCGAAAAGGCCGAGGCGCCGGATGTCTGGTCTCTCCCGTTCCCTCGCTCGTTTCTTCCCTCCCCCTTTCCCTCTTCTCCCGCTTTCTGCGTGTTCGACCATGGGGCCCTTGTTACCCATCGCTCCTGGGCCGTCTTCGGCGGTCTTCGGGCGGTCTTCGGCGGTTTTCTGCGGTATTCTGACGGTCTTCAGCGGTCTTTGGCGGTTTCCATCGGTTGTCGGCGCGAAAGCTGGATGGTTACGTTCCAAAAGGGGTCCATTTGATCGAACGCCCAACCCCTTGCTCCAGCAAAGGAACAACTACGTAACCATAAACTTTTGGAGGTCCGCGTGGATGTCTGGGATCGCCGCTTGGGCCCCCCTTGCAGCGCCTCCGGCGCCGCCCCTGGCGCGCCTCGCGCGCCAGGGATGGGCTCTCAGCGCAGATCCAAGAAATCCGCGCGGACCTCCAACAGTTTATGTTCATGTCGATCTTCTTCCTCAGACGTGACCTCGTCTTAAAAAGAAATCACGGCTCGAGGGTTTTGGCCTTTTTCTGCCTCCAGGGGGCCCTCACCGAGCCCCGGGACCGTCAAAGAACGACTCGGGATGAAACACCGGTCTTGGGGAATGGGTCGGGAGTTCGGGGGCCCCGTGTTGAACAAATCAGGACACCGCATGTTTGGGTCCCGTTCCCTTGCTCGTTTCCTCCCTCCCACTTTCCCTCTTCTCCCCCTTGCCCACCTCTCTCTCTCTCTCTTTTTTCTTCTGTTGATCGTCTTCGGATTGTCTGTATGCTCTTACTGCTCTGCTTTCTTTTCGCAGTATCATCCTGTCTGGCCCGTCCGAGGCACCCCACAGGCCGTGCTGAGGGAGGGGGACATGGGACAGGGGCGGTCGGAATGAGCCCCATCTTGCTTGCGGGCCGCTGCTGCTGGCTTCCCACGGGGCCGGGCCTGACCCTTAAGTCGGGCCTGTCCCCCTACAGGGGGATTTTCGACGAACAAGGAACAATACCCCCAGAATAAAGAAATAGTCCACACACAGTCCGGGGACTATTTTTGGAGTAGCCTTGGACCTTCTGGGGGTGTTTTTGGGGTACTCTTTAATGTGTTTCGTCGAAAATCCCCCTGTAGGGGGGACACGCCCGACAGAACCTTACCCCTGCTTCTCGGTGGGGGGGGGGGCGGCGGGCCAGGGGCCCGACGCCGGGCCCGAGAGCCCACCTCGCCCGAGAGCCCTCGGCCGCGCGCGGGGGCGCGTCACACCGGTGGTGGCGGCTGGTCGGCGCTGCGCCGGGCACGCCCGCCGTCGTGCCGCTCGCGTGGGCTGCCAGCGCGCACCTCGGTGCCGTCTTGGCAGCCCTGCTGTCGCACGCTGTCGCACGACGGGGTCTGATGTTGCAGCCTGCCGACTTTTCAGAGCCCACGGTGCCCCTTGTCTGCAACCTAAGACTCATGGCGCGCTGCCCTGGACAACACAGGAAGCTCTGCTGAGACGCGGGCGCTCATGCCTCGGCATCGCTCGGGCGTGTGCACTTTTCCTTCGGCGAGGGCCATCGAGGAGCATCCCTGATCACTGGGCGAAAAAGCTACGCACGAAACCGAAGAAAAACACAGGGAATGGACGTCGGAGCGATGGCGAGGTGCGCACCTCGGTGCCGTCTTGGCAGGGGCGGGGGTGCGGGAGGGGTTGGGCGGGGCTAAGACGAGGCTATATCCGTTCCAGAGCGTCCGGGAACGCTCTCAGAGCGTTCCGGGGCGCCTGGGGAAGGCCGCGCCGCCCGAGGCGTCCTCCAGAGCCGCCGGATCTCCGAGATTCTCGAGTTGTCCTCGCCCGGATTGATCTTCGTCCTGGCATGGTCTTCCGAGGGGAACGAGAGTTAAGTCGGGCCTGTCCCTCTACAGGGGGAATGTTCAAAAATAGTCAAAAATAGTCTGGGGACCATTTTTTTCAGCATGTTTGGGTATTTTTTGAGCATTTGTTAAGTATGTCCAGAATCCCCCTGTAGGGGGGCAGGCCCGACCTAAAACGAGAGGGCTCGTCCGCGCGCCCAGGGGCCCTCCAACTACCACAACTTCCTGCGCATGGGCGTCCCGCCGTCGGAGATCAGGCTTGCCGGCCACTGGATTCCCCAGGAGCCCGAAGCCCTGCCTCCTCCTGCTCCTGCTCCTGCTGCTCCTCCTCCTCCTCCTCCTTCGCCTGTTCCTCCTCCTGTCCTCCTCCTCCTGCTCCTCCTTCTCCTTCTCCTGTTCGTCGTCGTCGTCGTCGTCGTCCTCCTGTCCTCCTCCTCCTCCTCGTCCTCCTCCTGTCCTCCTCCTCCTCCTCCTCCTCCTCCTCCTTCTCCTTCTCCTGTTTGTCGTCGTCGTCGTCCTCCTCCTCCTCCTCCTCCTCCTCCTCCTCCTCCTCCTCCTCCTCCTCTATTCCTCTCTTCCCTGTAAACGCATGTCTCACCCTGACGCCTGACATTTCCAACAGCTGCGCGGATGGAGGGAGGCCGGTCTCCAGAGATGCGGGTCTCGCCGCAGCGCCGTGCCATTCGTTTTGCAGGCGCCCAGCAGTTGCAAAAGATGGAGGGCGAGCCGTGTTCATAACGTGGCTCTGGCCTCAGCGCCGCTCGTCTCAGAAGCCTGACAGTTACAGATGACGGAGGGCAGTTCGGCGGCTCTCTTTCAAGACGGGGCCTCCCGCTTGACACCCCTTTACTCACCGTCTACAAGCCACCCCCACCCAAGCCGAAGGCCCCAATCTGCGCTCCATTCCCAAGGGGTGGGGGTGGAGGGGGGGGGCCTCTGGGAACATTGAAGCTCCACGCGATGGAACCCGTGCCCCCAACCCGACCCGAAACTTGGGTCCTCGGGCTGCGCTGGGGGTGGCGTGGCAGGTCGTCATGGACCCGCGGCTGACCTGACCCGCCTCTCGCTCTCTGGCTCGCTCGCCTGGTCACGGCGGGGTCCGGCCCTCGGCGCTCGTTCGCCCGCCCGCGCGAGCACCGGCGGGCGACACCGGTCGCTCGCCGGCCCGGGTGGCTCGCCCGAGCGGCGGGGGGGGGGGCTCGAGCGGGCGAGGGGGCCGCCCCCCCGGCTCGCTCGCAGGGCTCGCCCGCTCGCTCGGGCGGGCGGGAGGTCCTGCGCGCCCGCGCTCGCGGCCCAGGGGCCGCTGGCCCGCGCGGTCGAGGGAGCGAGCGACCCTTTTCTAGGGTGGCACAGGCTGTCGAGTGTCAGCGCGCGTGTGCAATGCAGCGTGCGAGTAAGGCCGTCAAGTGTCGAGCTTCATTTTGATCGGTCGACGCCTGTGTCTTTCGCTTGTTTCAGGGGGTAATGAGGTGGGAGGAGACGAGTCTTCATCCTGCACCTTGTCCTTTCCTGGACCTTCGGAGCACCCCCCATGGGTGGACGCTGGTCGAAACACGGCTGAGAATGGAGCCCGGGAGGGATCTGGGGTCGTCGTCACCCCAACATACTGATACTATGTGTGCGTCGCCCCCCCCCCCCTGGGGCGACGCGCGCACCGAGAAACCTTATCGTATATGCGTCGTGGCGGGCGCTTTCTGCCCACACCGTTCGGCAAACGATCTACTACTGGATGGGCATGCTACATGTTCGAGTCGGACGCGCGCCTCCAGCGAGGACATATGTAGTACGAGTGTATCTCTGTGCGTCCCATGGGGGCCCAGTGTCGAGCGGACTTTGGCTGCGTTTTTCAGGGGGCGGGACGCCCGACCCGAGCCGAGGAGGACACTGCTGTCTAGGCTAACGGGGTCCAGGTTCTTCTCTTCGACGGACGTGGCGTCTCTTTGGCTCGGCTGCTTCCCCTTAGGGGGGGGGCGGCAGCACAGAGGAAGAGAGATGAGGGGCGGGAATCCGACCCCAGCTCCCCCGCAGGCATGGACGCTACGGCTCTCGGCTACGCGTAAGAGGGACCCCTTGGCCGGAGTGACCTTTGGTGCTCGGCTGGCTTTCGGGGGCCGCTGCGGGGCCAAGCCCAAGCGCGCCGGCCGCCACTGCCGCACCGAACGCGACGGCCGGCAGGCCGCGCACCGCAGGTCACTCTTGCCTAGGGCCACTCTGACGTGTAGCCGAGTTTCAGCGTTTCGTTGCCGTGGCGGACGGGCGCAGCCTCAGCGGGCCCGCAGGCGAGACCCCCTGGGCCAGCTGGGAGGTGCTCGCCTGCGCCTGCGGCGGCGGCCTGTGCCCCACTCGCTGCGGCTGCACCCGCGCCTGCATGCCCGGGGGCCTGCGCCCGCCTGCGCCTCGTGGCCCGACGCGAGGGCAGGGGCAGGGGCAGGGCGGGGAGAGGGGGGAGTGGGGGAGGGGCGGAGGCAGGGTGGGGAGAAGGGGGGGGGGGGCGAGAGGGACATGGGGGTCGGTCCGTTCACAGGGTGGAAGAGGGGGGTGCTGCTGCTGCTGCTGCTGCTGCTGCTGCTGCTGCTCGATCCGTGATCGTCGGCTCAGGGTCCTTGCAGACCGAAGGCGTCGCTGGCGCCGTCCCCACAGATGCTTCGTGCCGCGCTGGCGCGGATCAGGCCCGGGGCCGCCGATGCCCCCCCCGCGGCCGCGCCCGCAGCCGCGCGCGCGGCCCCAAAGATTGCTGCTTGCGGGACCGACGCCGCGGCGAACAAGCGGCTGTACGACGAGTGGGGCGACAGGTATTCGGCGGCGAGCGAGGGGGGGGGAAGTGAGAAGGAGAAGGCCTTCCCAGAAGGCGGCGGGACTTCTCAGAAGCCCTCGCGCCTTCTGAGAGGCTTTCTGCGTCTTCCGGGAAGGCCTGGAAGACTTCGCGGAGGGCTGGGGGAACCTCCGAGCCTTCTGTTGGAAGGCCCGCCCCTTCTCACTTCCCCCCCGATCGCTCGCCGCCGAGGTTGGAGTACGGGATCGTCTGCAGAATCGATTTACCCCAAAATTGATTTTCTCGTCGGTCATGCGTGTAGGATGTTTCTGGATCTACGAAGGTTCTACGCATGTCTCGTGGATGCGACGAGAATCAATCAATCTGGGGGTCGATCAATTCCGTAGTCGATCCCCTACTTGAGAGGTACGAGCGGGACGTGCGCGCGTGGGGCTACCGCATGCCCGAGGTCTGCGCTGCCGCGCTGAAGCGGCACGCCCCGGACGGCGAGCGGGCCTCCTTCCGGGTGCTGGACGCCGGGGCCGGCGACGGCCTGTCGGGCAAGGCCATCCTGGCGGCGCTCTCGGCGGGGGCGTCGTGGCGCGAGGGGGGGGGGCTGGGCTCCTCCTCCTCCTTCTCCTCCTCTACAATTACTCAATATGAATACTACTCTCCTCCTTCCCCTGATGACGGGTTGGGAGTGTTCGCCCCCCCCCCCCCCTCCCCCCGCGTACTGTCTTTTTACACACCGGATTCCCCAGAGTTGGGTTTTCGCTTGCATTTTTGGTTCAAAATGTTGCTCTCGCTGAGGCGCCGGCCTCATTTTCGGGCCCCGCTCGTTCCGAATCGTGCGCCCGCTGCAGCACTGGCCTCATTTCCGTGCTTCCGCTCATTCCGAATCGTGCTCCCGCTGCAGCGCTGGCCTCATTTCCGCGCTTCCGCTCGTTCCGAATCGTGCTCCCGCTGCAGCGCTGGCGTCATTTCCCGTGCCATGCCACGGCATGCAATGCATTGCTAGGTTGCATTCCGCTGCGCGATGCCATGCCTTCAGCTGAAGCTGTGATATGCAGTGCTTAAGTGCCACGTCGTGCTATGCCATGCTACGCTTGGATCTTCAACGCCATGCTATGCAATGTTATGTTCGGGGCCGCTGTGCGATGCCATGCCTTGCGTTGCAAAGCTTTGTGATGCAATTCTTCACTACGCCACGCCACGCCATGCTGTGACATGCTACGCTTTGCGGTGCTCTTCTACGCCATGCCATGCCGTGCTCTACAATGCATCGCGTACCCTTTCGGGATCATTGCCCTGCTCGACATCCGACTGTGCGAGTAGAGAGGGGATCTACGCCATGGTAAGGGATGGGAGGGAGGGATAGGATGTCAGATATGACGCGAGCGCACCTATCTTGCCCTCCTCCTCCTCCTCCCCCTCGTCTCCCTCCTCCTCATCCTCATCCTCCTCCTCCTCCTTCTTTTCCTCCTCCTCCTCCTCCGACTCCTCCTCCTCCTCCTCCTCCTCCTCCTCCTCCATCTCCTCCACCTCCCTCCTCCTCTGCGAAGGCGTTTGGGGGGCTCCTTAGAAGCCCGCCTGGCTTGGAGGAGCCGTCTCAGAAGCTCCCCGGGGCCTTCTGAAAGAGGCCCCTGCCTTCGAAGAGGCCCCACCCCACCTTTTGCACGAAGGCCGCCCCCCCTCGCGCCACCCCCCACGTGGGCTCCGCCAGCCATCGTAGACGAGGGGTTCCCCCACGTCGTCGGGATCGACATCTCTCCCGAGCTCGTCGCGAAAGCCAGCGCGAGAGGGGTCTACAGGTATGCGGAGGTAGGAAACCTTGCGGAGCCATTGAAGTATGACTCTGGTGAATTCGACGCGGTCATGGCCGTGGGCGTGATGACCTATCTCGAGCCGACGGGAACGTGCCTGGACGAGCTGTGCCGGGTCGTGAAGGACCGCGGCCTTGTCATTTTCACACACAGGACCGACAAGATGTCGCAGTGGGAGGAGAAGCACTCCCAGCTGGAGAGGGATCGCGTGTGGGAGAAGGTTGGAACGAGGAGGATGAGGAGGGGGAGTGAGAGGGACGGAGATGATTACGCTTCTGGTCATGATGGTTGTTCTGATGACGGTGACGAGCAGCCGATTGGAGGACGAGAGCGAGGAGGAGGAACACCAGCGTGGACCCGAGATGCAGCAACGAGGTTGCAGCTCACTCTCCTGTCCCATATTCCCTCCACCTCATAGTCTTCGGTCGGGCATGTCCCTCTATAGGGGGAGTATTCAACTAGCCTGGCGAAGAACCCAACCGTGTGCAGTTGTGAGTCACACAGTTGTGAATACGGTCTTCGGTGGAGCTCCCTATGGGGCCACGAAACGTGTGAGAGGTGTGCCGAAATGAGTGACGGAGACGCATGCGAACCTTGACACTGTGACCTTCGGTGGGGCTCCTATGGGGCCACAAAACGTGTGAGGGGTGCGCCGAAATGATTGGGGGGGACGCATGCGAACTGTGCCACTGGGACCTTTGGTGGAGCTCCTATGTGGCCACGAAACGTGTGAGGGGTGTGCCGACATGAGTGACAGAGACGCATGCGAACCTTGACACTGGGACCTTCGGTGGGGCTCCTATGGGGCCACAAAACGTGTGAGGGGTGCGCCGAAATGATTGGGGGGGACGCATGCGAACTGTGCCACCGGGGCCTTCGGCGGAAACGTGTGTGAGGGGTGCGGCGAAATGAATGGCGGGGACGCGTGCGAAACGTGTGAGGGGTGTGCCAAACTGAGTGGCGGGGACGCATGCGAACTGTGCCACCGTGGCTTTCGGCGGAGCTCCTATGGGGCCACGAAGCGTGTGAAGGGTGTGCCGACATGAGTGACGGGGACGCATGCGAACTTTGCCACTGGGACCATCGGCGGGGCTCCTCTGGGGCCACAACGTGTGAGGGGTGCGCCGAAATGATTGGGGGGACGCATGCGAACTGTGCCACCGTGGCCTTCGGCGGAGCTCCTATGTGGCCACGAAACGTGTGTGAGGGGTGCGACGACATGAATGCCGGGGACGCGTGCGAATTGTGCCACTTGGACCTTCGGCGGGGCTCCGATGGGGCCACGAAACGTGTGAGGGGTGTGCCGGAATGAGCGGCGGGGACGCATGCGAACTGTGCCACTGGGGATCTTCGGTGGGGCTCCTATGTGGCCACGAAACGTGTGTGAGGGGTGCGCCGAAATGAATGCCGGGGACGCGTGCGAATTGTGCCACTTGGACCTTCGGCGGGGCTCGTACGGGGCCACAAAAAAGTGTGAGGGTTGTGCCGAAATGAGTGGCGGGGACGTATGCGGACTGTGCCACTGGGACATTCGGCGGAGCTCCTATGGGGCCACGAAACTTTTGAGGGGTGTGCCGAAATGAGTGGCGGGGGCGCATGCGAACTTTGACTTTGGGACCTTCGGCGGAGGTCCTATGGGGGCCACGAAACGTGTGAGGGGTGTGCCAAAATGAGTGGCGGGCTAACTGCGCCACTGGGACCTTCGGCGGTCCCCTTATGGGGGCCACGAAACGTATGAGGGGTGTGCCGGAATGAGCGGCGGGGACGCATGCGAACTGTGCCACTGGGACCCTCGGCGGAGCTCCTATGGGGGCCACGAAACGTGTGAGGGGTGTGCCGAAATGAGTGGCGGGGACGCATACGGGTTGTGCCACTGGGACCTTCGGCGGAGCTCCTAGGGGGCCACGAAGCTTATGAGGGGTGTGCCGAAATGATGGTGATGGAGGAGTGAGGAGAGGGAGGACTGGGAAGAGGGAGGAGGGGGAGGAGGAAGGAAGGAAGGAGGAGAACGCGGGGCGCTGTCTCTTCAAAACCAGGACCCACCACCACAGGATGGTTCGGTCAACTAGCTTAAAACAAAGGATACGTTTTTGTTTTGTTATTGTTGTTGTCGTCGCCGTCGTCGTCGTCGTTGTCGTTGTCGTTGTCGTTGTCGTTGTCGTTGTCGTTGTCGTTGTCGTTGTCGTTGTCATTGTCGTTGTCGTTGTTGTTGTTGTTGTTGTTGTTGTTGTTGTTGTTCTTGATAATGTTGGCATTGTTATGGTTGTTATTACGGCTGTTGGTGTTGTAGTATTTGTTGTTGTAGTTGTTGTTGTTATTGTTGTTGTTGTTGTTGTTGTTGAATATTATTACTTCTAAAGAAATATTATTGTTGAGACCCCTGGTGCGCGACCCCCCTCCAAAACCTAGGCCGCAGCCTCATTTCCTTCATTTTCTAGCGAAAGCTTCAGAAAAGTGGATTGTCACCGGATCCGGTTGTTTTGTTGTAATCCGTTTTCCCTTGCAAAAAACACTATAAAATGAAAATTCTTGTTCTTACTTGATCAAATTGCAAGAATCCCTTGCAAAAAATAAGGTAAAGTGGACATTCGTGCGCGCAAGACGAAATCCTTCCAAAACCTTAGGTTTCGTAGCGATTTTAACATAAAAACATCAAAAACCCAATGGTTTTTTAAGAAAAAATTGTCAAAATGTCCTTCCGCGCGCTCTTGCGGATTCGTAGGAAAACCAACACTTTTTAAACAATTCTGTCAAACGGGCTTTTGCGAGCAACTTTTTCGAACTTCTGCGACAACGGTTGCGCACCTGCCAGGGCCATCATCCCTGTCAAATAATACCATGCGGGACACATTCGTTTTTTCTTCGCGCGCGCACGCCGAAATCTCCAAAAACCATTGGGTTTTTAAGAATTTTAGCACCGCGCATCATAAAATCACACGAATCGCACCGTAGGTCCTCGAAAAACACCTGCACGACTTTTCAAAATTTCCACCCGCGCGCGCTGTCCGAATCCTAAAAAAACCAATGGTTTTCCAACATTTATGTTACATGAGCTCGCGCGAGCTACTTTCGCACGCTCTTGCAACGGGGTTCGCGCGCCTGCCAGGGGCCAGAACTCCGCTCTCTCTGTCTCTCTCTCTGTCTGCTCTCTGTCTCTCTCTCTGTCTGTCTGTGTCATGTATTGTATGTCACAATTGCAGGATGCTGGGCACACGCGCGCCCCGAATAAGTGACCAAGTTCTGTGGGTGTGTACCCCACGCCAGTGTAGTAGCCACGGTCGTCCGCACGCCACGAAGTGAAGTGTCCCAACGTCATAGGGCGGGAAGCTGGGTTTGGGTGGTCGCGAAGAGTCGTTTGGATATTTGGTAGAGCTTGAACTGCCCCCCCACGAAGTGGGGGTATTGTCTCGCGTCGCATGAAAACCCTGGCACTGGTGAGAACACTGAGCGTTCGGGTAAAATGATTGTTGTTGTTGTTGTTGTTGTTGTTGTTGTTGTTGTTGTTGTTGTTGTTGTTGTAAATGTTGTTGCTGTTGTTGTTGTTGTTGTTGTTGTTGTTGTTGTTGTTGTTGTTGTTGTTCTTGTTGTTCTTGTTGTTGTTAAACTCTCATTTCTAAAGAATATGTATTGTTGATCCCCCCACTGGCACATATTGTTTTTCTCAATTAAAGTGTGCCCCTCGACGCTCGCACCCTGTTCTTTGATAGGGAAAGTCTTGATGCTCAAACTGAGCCCCTGCCCCCCCGGGTCACAACAACAACGGCTCCCGCTTTAGACTTCCTCGCAATTTAGCCAGGACCCCCGCTCCCGCCCGAGACTTCCTCGCATTTTATTCAGGAATCGCGCTCTCGCTGGGGACTTCCTTACAATTTATTCAGGAATCGCTCTCCCGGCGCTCTGGAGTCGCGCTCTCGCTGGAGACTTGCTTGCAATTTACTGAAGAATAACGCCCTTGCGTTGGAATTTCCTGCAATTTGCTGAAGCGCCGCGCTCCCGATACCCAGGTACCCAACTGTCCTATGTGGCCCAGTTGCTACCGTCAGTGGCCTCATCGTTGCCTTCTATGGCCCCGCATTATCTGCCCTTCGTGGCCCCCGCTCGTTCGCGCTCGTCGTGGCCACATACGCATTTCCTTCGTGTCCCCGCTGTCGCCCTTCGTGGCCTACTTCGTATCCTTCGTGGCCCTGCTGCCGTTCTCTCTCGCTCTCGCTTTCGCTCGTCGTCGCCGTCGTCGTCGCCGTTGTCGTCGACGTCGTCGTCGTCGTCGTCGTGGTCGGTCCCCTGTCCGTCCCTCTTGGGGTCGGGTCGACTGTCCGCGGCCGCCCCGCCGATCAGTGCTGCCGCTGGCCAGGCCGACGGTCCGCGGCCGCCCCGCCGCTTGCCAGGGCCCGGCCTGCAGGGAAGAAAGGTATACCCCCCAAAAGGGGTTCGATCGAAGACGAAGAGGGCGGATATCGAGGGTTTGGGAAATACGCGTTATTGGACACTCGAGCAGATAAGGGCGAACAGTCTTAAAATGATCGTTGTTGTTGTCGTTGTTGTTGTTGTTGTTGCTGCTGCTGTTGCTGTTGTTGTTGTTGTTGTTGTTGTTGAACATTATTACTTCTAAAGAATAATTATTGTTGGAACCCCTGGTGCGCGACCCCCCTCCAAAACCTAGGCCGCAGCTACATTTTCATCATTTTTTAGCGAAAGCCTCAGAAAAGTGAATTATTACCGGATCCGGTTGTTTTGTTGTACTCCGTTTTCCTTTGCAAAAAACACTATAAAATGAAAATTCTTGTTCTTACTTGATCAAATTGCAAGAATCCCTTGCAAAAAATAAGGTAAAGTGGACATTCGTGCGCGCAAGACGAAATCCTTCCAAAACCTTAGGTTTCGTAGCGATTTTAACATAAAAACATCAAAA